CAGCCCTCAGAAGGTGAAACTCCCTTAAACACGATCAGCAGGAATTTTATCAAAGCAAAGAATAGGAGAGACAATAAGATCCTTCCCTTACAACAAGGGACTTACCATTGTATCCCTCTAGGACAGAATCTATAATAGGTCTTGCTGTTAAATTATAGACATCCAGCTGTTTACTCTCTGGTCCAAACACTGTGTCAAATGTGAATGTCTTAGGAGGCTCATTGGATGAGTCTGTTTTATGCACAGTTATAGTTCCCCTCATCTCATCCACGTTCACTGCCATTTTGTAGCCTGTAGCTTTCTCCCGGTCATTGAGAGGCCGGCAGCGAACAACCACCTTGACATTGTCACAGCTTTCCGGCTTGTCCGGCTTCTCAGGCTTGTTAATCTGTAATTATTTAAACAAAAATACACAGGCTGTAACACTAGTGTTAACACAGAATCACAGAAAGGTTTGGGGTGCAAGATACCCAGTTCCACCCCCACGGACAGAAACACCTTCCACTGGAGCAGGTTGCTCCAGCCTGGCCTTGAACACTTCCAGGGATGAGACAACCACAGCTGCTCTGGACAACCTATGCCATGACCTCACCACCCTCACAGGGAAGAATTTCTTCCTAATAGCCAATCTACCCCTGCCATCTCCCACTATAAAACTACTGTGTGTCTAAGCACAAACACTGTTGAATCAGCTTGGGCAGCTACGTCTCCAGAGGATCATGAACTTGGGGACTTAAACCCAGGACTGGTTTATAATTACAGTGGAGAGAACAACACGCTTATTCAGGCAATGGGATCTTTGTTGGTTGGCCAACATGGACACTGAATAAGTAAACCTTGAGCATTTCACATTCACAAGAATTTTTTCAAGAAACATTTTCACCTTGCAACCTGCAAAAAGTTTGCTGGAATTCGGTGCAGCCATGACATTCTTCTTCAGTAACACTGACTATACACTCTCCAACCTCACAGAGCACACAACCAGATACCAGGGAGTGCTGGCTGAAGGGGATTCATTTTAATTACAACACCCAGTATACATGCTTAAGTTTAGAACACCTGAATGTTGCATTATAAAACCTCACATTCATTTCCTTTCATGTAGTTACCGAAACAAATTTTGAAGCACGGCTGATGAATCTAGTTAAGAGACACTCCCGTGGGCTAGAGGTGCTGCAGCTCAGCTTCTAACTGCTCCTAGAGCAGCTACACTGCATGTGAAGCCGAAACAAACCCTTTCCAAGCGCCTCTCCCTCCAGCTGCCACCTGCCCCGATTCCTCCCAGGCCTCAGCAGCGGCTTTTGCCGTCCTGCTGAACGCAGAGAGCGGCTCAGCCCCACTCGGGCGGGGGAGGGAAGCACACGAGGCGCCTGCCAAAAACCAACAGCGGGACTCGGCGTCTCCACGAGCCCCCGTGATATGGGACGAGACCCTCCGGGGCGGCCGGACCGCCACTCCCCGCTGCGAAGGCGCCGCCGCCTCTGCGGGGCCTGGCACCGCCCGCAGCCCCTCGTCACCCCCGCCCCGCTCGGCCTGACAGGCACCGCCCGCCCTGCGGCTCCCGCGCGCACACGGGAACGGAGCCGACGGGCTCTGCCAGCCCCGGGCGCGGCGGGCAGAGGTGCGCAGTGCCCGGACAGCCCCGGGGGCCACACCCCGCGTCCCCCCCGCGCCTCACCGGCATGGCGATAGCGATGGCGGCCGCGGCAGCCCGGGCCAGGCGCTGGCACGGCGGAACAATAACAGCACCGCGCCTGCGCGCGCCCCGCCCCGCGGCCAGCCCCCGCGCGCTGCGGTGCCCGCGCAACCAATGGCAGGCGGGGGGAGGCGGGGCCGAAGGGAGCTCAACCAATGGCCGCGGCGGGGCGCCCCGTCGGCATGGGAACGGCGGGCGGGCGGGGGCAGCGGGGACAGCGCGGGGCCGGCGGCGGCCGATGGGCTGTGAGGGGTGACCGGGCTCACAGCGGGGCCGGCGGCGGCCGATGGGCTGTGAGGGGTGACCGGGCTCACAGCGGGGCCAGGGCCCGACGGGCTGTGAGGGGTGACCGGGCTCACAGCGGGGCCCGGGCCCGACGGGCTGTGAGGGGTGACCGGGCTCACAGCGGGGCCGATGGGCTCTGAGGGGTGACCGGGCTCTGAGGGGTCTGCCAGTGCTCCAGAGCTCTGGAAGAGTTCCAGAGCTTTGACAAGGCTCCACTGCTCTGGAAGGGCTATAGGGGGTCTAAGGGGGCTCTGGGTCTCTGATAGGGCTGCAAGCCCAACCTGTTCTCCACACAATGAAGAATATCCATCTCCTTCTTTTTGTGACTGTAATGTTTTGAATTGCTGATGAAATAGAGGGACTGCAGAATAACTTAAATATAAACAAGCAATACAGTCCAAGTGGCACATAAATCAGTTAGTCCTGCACTAATGAAGCACATTCCCAAGTTATTTGTCATTTAGTGTAAAGTTTCACAGCATACTGCTGGGATCCTCCACAGCCTCACCTACTCTCCTGCTTGCAGCATTTCAACATCACACTGTCCACGTGTCAGTTACTTAAACAAATTAGATTAAATCATTCCAACAATCTGACTTTGTCCTTTCATAATCTATGTCCTTAAGAGTCAAAGACAATTTTACTGAACAGGAAAGGTCCAGGAATAGTTTCCCCAGTACCTGATGCCCTGGATCACACTTGTCTCTCTTCCCCCCAGCTATTCCTGCACACCCAAATCCTGCTGGCAGGTCACAGAGCATTGCTCCAGTCCCACTACTCCCCTCGTTGCCTTTGCTGTGGACCACTGGGGCCTGGGATCCCCAGCACCAAGCACCAGGCACAGACACAAACCAAGGGCTGTGCCTCGGTTGTGCTGTATTTTTGCCAGAGGGATGTAAGCAGCAGCAGGAATGTGGACAGAGCTGATCTGCACCCGGCAGATCTCCCCCAGCAAACTGACCGGTGTATCCCAGGGCCGGGCACACAGGTGGTGACAGGACAGGGCCATTCCCCAGCCCCAGGTGTGTGCAATCAGGTGAGTCAGGAACCTTAAGACCAGCTATTCAGCAAAGTCTCTTTGCTCTTCTCACACTGCCGCGGTGTTAGTCAGAGCTGTGCTGCACGCACAGATTCATGGACTAACAATTTAGCACCAGAAAATGTATAGCCCAAGGGGCTGGTGAGACAACAGAGTCATGTGTAGGCAGGCAAAGCTGAGGAATGAGAACAGGTTTAACATAAAATATTGGAACCAGCTTCCCACAGAAAATGCTGCAGGAGGAAAACAAAGGAGTCCAGGATCTGAGGGGAAAGCTGAGAGCGGCTTTGAGACATGGAGAGATCCTGGATGGAAGAAAACCTGGGGTGAAAACACGGATGCTGGCAGAGGGGTCCAGCCCTGGGAGGGAACAAGAGTGCATACGCTCAATGAAAAACACAGAGAAAAGATACTTCCTGTGACTGGAAGGAAAATAGGTCCTGGCAGGTGCTGGGATTGTGTGGATCCAGCAAATGCGTGTTTTGGAGCGGGCCACGTGGAAGAGAAGGGACAGCGCATCGTCAAGGCAATAACTGGTGCCAGAGAAGGAGCAAGCAGATTTAGGGGCTGTGCTGAAGGTTACAGCGTTATCACGTGGCAGAATTTCATCGGGATCCCGCTTTGCCTGGCACAACGATCTCTGGACAGGCAGGACAGAGCCACAGGGGCCGAGACCGCGCGGACCCCGCGACACGAGCTGGGGCTCCAGCCGAGCCGTGCCCGGAGATCGCCACCGAGGATCCCGGCGGAGGGGCCAGGGGCCTGGGGCTGCTCCCCGCAGGTGCCGGCCCCGCCGCGGAGCCGAGCCCCGTGCCCGGTACCCGGCCAGGCGGGTAGGGACGGGCCGGGACGGGACGGGACGGGCCGGGGTCCCCATCGGCGCCCGGGCGCTCTGCAGGGCTGGAGGGGCTGTCTGAGCGCTGGCGGTGCGGGAGCTGCTCGGTGGCCTTCTCAAGGACAGTCGAAATTAGCCAGAGGGCGAGATTTTAATTATTATTTCCCCCCAGCTTCACCAGGGTAAACTTCTCCGTGCATCAAACTGGTCAGATAAATCATTGCCAGCTCTCCCTCTGTGAAATGGTCCGGCTTTGGATGCTCTGACATCCAGTGGCAGCCGAAGTTAGTCATATGTGGTTCCTGCTTTTAGGGAAACCTCATTAGAAATGCAGAACAGTTTCCAGAGGATTCACGTCACTTTGGGTTTTTTAATAGAACTACAGAGATAATGGTGTGAGCTTCCAGAAAAAAAAAAAAAACCAAAAAAAAAACCTGTGAGGAAGCCCACATTCACCACTCCTTGGAAAGAAAAGCAGGAATTTTATATCTAGTAACATCTCTTTTCTGTTGTTAAAGAGACACCAAAATGTAAGCCTTGAAGTAGTTTCAGGCTGGATGTTCTCATTCACTTGGTACTGATATGATTCAGAGATGTTTATTTCCTGTAAATACTCCCCTTAGTCTGGAGAGTGGGATTTCCAAAGTGGTATCTCCAAAGATTAAACTGCTCTGAGGAAAACTTTTAATTGGGAACTCATAAACCTCCTAAGAACAGTCAACTTTGAGCCTTTTTATGGAAACCATAAGCCTCTATTTGCCAGAAACTTGAAATCAGGTGATGACAGGTTGCAGAGTAATAGCTCAGCAAATGGAGTGCCAAATGTGTGAAACAGGATAAATGGAGTAATCTGGACTGCTTGACCCAAAGTTTCTCTAGCCATTACACAGCCCAGCAGTGAAGAAGCTGGACTGTGTTGTCGTTCAGCCATCTGACGTGTTTTCTTTCATCAGGAATTTTCAGGGAAAATGCATATCAGGATTGCTCTGTCTGCAAACAAACAAGTCCTGTGGCTGCTCCTCAGTTCTCAGCACTGGAAAGGCATCAAAAGAGGAAATCATCCTTAGTACAAGGAGCTGGGATGTTGTTTTATAATTTTGTTTGTTTTTGTCAGTGGCTCTCATCAGGAAACTGACTCAGCTGCCATGAAGTGTCCTGGACATATAGACAGCTCATGACTTGCCTTTTTTTTTTTTTTTCTGGAAAATGCCTTAGCCAGAGAGGCCAGGATTTGGAAAGTGCCAGTTTTCCAGAATCTCACCATGAAGGCATCCCCGCCTGTCCTCTTTGGAATTCCCTAAAGGACCCTGCAAAGATGCAGTGCTGGTCATGCCATCTGATTCACCTGAATGCAAAAGATATTCCCTCATGGGCTAGGCTTAAGGAATGGAGGGGCAGGAGGGTCTGTATTTATCCCATTTTACATTTTATTGATGCTTTGTATAAACCAGGGGCTTTGACTTTTGCTCTGACTCAGTCAGAAAAGTAGTTTTGGGAAATGTGAAATAGTTTGGGATAACATGGTAGAGCAGCCAATTGATAATAAAACCATAAATTTGACATGTTAATTGTGTTCAGCACTATCTGTGAATTCTATCTGTTAAGGTGGGAGTAGATGGAATTCACTGAGGCCTAACAGAAACCCAGCCCCATTCCAAGCTGCCTTAGGAAGCTGCAAGACTCCAAGACTCTGTGTACAATGCAAAACAGTTTCACTTGGCTGTTCTGTAAGTGCAGCAGAGCCATGGAAGGATGCACAGGAGCGCCTTAACAGCCTTGTCTCTTCTTTGCAATAGTCTATAAATACTACTTTTATCCAGCACTTTTACTACCAAATTAAGCAAAATAGTGAAACAGATAATGGGATGAGTAGTATTAAACAAGTTGGTGTTTAGTCCTGTCTGTTCTGTGTAGCTGCTTGGCCTTTTTTCATCTCCTGCAACGCCCAGGTGTGTTCCATGGCTGCTGGGTGCTATTCTCACAGCAGCCACGTCCTCCCATTCACCTGAATGCAGCTTCGAATACGATATAAGAAAGAAAACTCAGTACATGTTGCCATGTACCTTTGGGGAGTCACAAACCTGGCTCTGGTCCCAACACTCAGCAAATCCAAAGGCTGTTAAAACTCTTGTGGAGTAAATCAAAACCTACTCCTGACTCCAGTTTCTCTGTTGAGGCTGGCTGAGTGGAACATGTGCTTTAAACTGCTCCAAAACGTGCCCTTGCCCTCCCTCTGTGGACACAGCTGACAACTTCCTTAATTTCAAGCCTCCAGCCATCTAAAATGCTAATTAGAGCACTTAAAAAGATTTGAGTCTTCCTTTGGAGATATGTTAACAAAATCATCAAAGCAGTAACTGTATTTTTCTTCTTACTTTTCCTTCCCCTCGGGGCACAGATATCTCTGTGTCAGGTTACAAAAAAGCAGTTCTCTGGATTGCAGAAATCAGATCCCAGTTCCAGTTTTACCCACAAATGTTCACCTTAGCCACCAGAATCTTCAATGGGCTGTTGGCATCAGGAAAAGTAAAAATCTCTGTCAGCTTTTCCCTGGCTAGATTACTGACTGGGAACATAAGGAGCATGTAATCAGTTTATACACAAAGCAGGGATGATGTTTGGCAGCAGATTTAGGGAGCAGTCAGGGTCATTGCTGGGGAAGGCCATTAAGCAAATATATATATATACACACGTATGAACTTGAGTGTTTGATGAGGTTCCACTGACCTCAATAGAATTGTTTGTGTGAACTTAGTCCAACTGCTGTGGTAGGTACAAAGAACTCATCTGGTTTTCTCTGCTAAACAGAAATTATTCACATTATCACTTTTAATATTCTGTGTTTTAGACTACTATTTTTAATTAAACTGTGGGGCTGAGCTTTTCTGTCACTGAAGCTACAGCAAAGGTAGGAGTTGAGCTGAGCCTTGCAGCTCCCCATTCTATTTAGCGTATAGAATCACAGAATCATTAAGGTTGGAAAATGCCTCTAAGATCAAGTCCAACATTTGAGTGATCACCACCCTATCAACTAAACCACTGTACTAAGTGCCACATCTAGTTGTTTCTTGAACACCCCCAGGGATGCTGACTCTCCCACCTCCCTTGGCAGCCTGTTGCAATATTTAATAACCCTTTCCATGAAGAAATTCTTCCTGAAGTCCAACCTGAACCAATATCTGAAAGTGAGGGGCAACATTGCAGTGTAAATACTGTGATGTTGCAGAGTCTAAAAGTTGTGAGAGACATGAATAAAAATGGCACCTATAAGAGGATTTATTCTGCTTCACTTTGAATTTCCTTGTTCTATTTCCAGCTTCTGTAGCTAAACTAATTCAGAAGCAACTGTAACTTAAATGAAAGTTTGAAACTTGTGTATGTATGAATGACAATTATTTCCCACAGGACTCTTATCTTCTTTACTCAGTGTTTTCTTCTTCTCCCTTCAGGCCCAATTAAAATATCTGCAGTGCATTGCAATTTCCTGCCTTGTCCTTGCAGCAAAAACCAATGAAGATGAGGTCTGTATGTTTCATTTTAAACACACTAAAAGTTGTTCATGTTTCCAGATCTTTCAACAAATTTGGACATAATGAAAAAGTGTTAATTTGTTTACCCTAAGTAGTTCTAAAGAAGTGAGAGTAGCATTTTCAGTCCTGTTTCACTGTTGCTCCAAAGAATTGTGACCTTTTGTTTTTGTTTATTTTATGGATGTGTTTCCAAACATGTCCTGTCCCCAAACCTCTCTCCTCTTTTCAGAATCCATGGCTCACAGTAGAGCAGTCTGAGGGGACAGTCAAGATGCCCATCAGAGGGCTGTAATTCCTGTGCTGTAGCTCCTGGGAGGGCACAGCAGGTGTGAAGAGCAGAAGCTCTTCAGAGGAAGATTTAAATAGATGAGTTTGCTTGGAGCCAAAACTGGTTTCTGAACCCTGTGAGGAACTGACTCATGTCTGCACCTCAAGATGAGAAAGTTAAATCAGCAACCAGTGAGAAATTACACAGGGTAGTTCTTATGGCAAAATGCAGTGATAGACTTCTGCAGGCATTTACAAGCATTAGCTAAAAGCATTTCAGATTGCATTCCTCTCTTCTGCTTTGCAAAAGAAGAGGAAAGCCAGGAGCTGGAGTCAGACATACACATCTCCTCAAACAGCCACTGTGGTAGTGAAATGTTCTTCACAGCCTCTCTTAGGTGGTGTTACACTGATGTTATTGTTCTTTTCCTCTCAGCTACAAAGAATAATGTGTCAGTGACCTCAGGAAACAAGACAACCACGGCAGACATTGTGACCCTGGGCTGAGCAGGGACCACTCTTCAATGAGGATGGGAGGTACCTAGGATGAGATCTCCTGAATGAGCATTCTGCTTAACATAAACCTGTGTAGACTTGTCAGATCCCTTCACAATACAGAGAAGCGCACACAGTACTGTAGAGGACGTTGGATTCTTTATTTTTTTTTTTTTTAATTTTTAAAAATTTTTTTACAGGTAATACCATCAGTGCAGACGCTAGCGGTGCAGAGCAGATGTAAACACTCTCCAGCCGAGATCTTGAGAATGGAAAGAATTCTACTGGGTAAGCTTCAGTGGGATCTTTACACAGAAACACCAATGGATTTCTTAAACATTGTAAGCACTATGTTTTGCAATGTTTTTTCTTGAAAGAAAAAACTCCTTATCAAATAAGACTAAAAAACACAGATGCACACACACACCCACCCACACATCCTTCCCAAGATTCTTGGCAAACTACCTATTCCTACCTATCTTCAAGCCTTTTAAAGAATATTACAATAATTATATTTTTAAATTTTTTTAAAATTTTCTACTATTTAAAACCTTCTATTTTGCTAAAAAAAATTTACTCTCATCTTTAAAGGAGAACTGAAGGGACATTAAAAAGATTCTCATAATGCACAACCATATGCCTTCTTTATTTTTTTTTAAATACAAGCTGCAAAAATAATTCTAACTATTTCCCTTCTATTAATACTGTACATACAAAGCTGTCAGTTTTGCTACATTTCCCACATAGGTTTTTTTCTTAAAACATTTTCCTTTTCATCCCACTAATTATTCATTTATGCAATGAGACTACCCTGGTCTGGCACTTAGTTCACATTGCAGTTACTAAAGATTTAATAGAAACAATTAAACTTTGTCTTCAAGAAACGATCATGTACTAGTAAGGCAAAATTCATGAGATATGAACATATCCTGGATCCCTATTTTAAGATTATGTGCAAATATTAAGCCATTTTAGGCTGCTGATTGTGAAAACTGCCTTTCGTAGGTACTTGTTTCCTTGGTGAATTCAGAGTGCAGTATTCCTGGTTTTACTGGATTTGGAGCTGCTGTCCTGAACTGAATCTCCTGGACAGCAATCTGGATAATGTAGAAACCTCAGAAACCATTAGGAAACATAGACCTCGTACATTCATTATCACCTCAAAAAACAGTTCAATGATTGGCAAGTACGAACACAAAACACAAAAAAAAAGGTGGGGGAAGCCTTCGTTTCCTGATATGAGATGAAATTCATCTGTACTTCTGGGTGATGACATGAAAACATATAAACTTCACTAACCTCTGCTTTTCTTTTCATATATATATGTGAGTATATATATATGTACACTTTGTCTTCTCTGCAGTTCCATGCCATGGTGATGTCCAGCTGGCCCCATCTCCCACCCAGACTGCCTCAGAGGAATCCTTCCCTCCACGTTGCACTCTTGACCAAGCAGCTGCAGCACTGTATGGCCTGCCACCAACTTGTGCAGTTTAAGGGCTCCACGCTGGTTTTGGTGATCATCACCTTGGAGCTGGAGAGGCAGACTCCTGGTTGGTTTCCTGTTATTACTGATCTGCTAAAAAAAGCACAGGTAGGAAGCAAAATGGCCTTTGGTCACAAATCCTGGATGCAGGACATGATTAAGAATAAAGCCATGTGTATTTACAGCCAGTATTGCATTTCAGCAGCTCCTGAGACTTGTGTCCTTGTCCTGCCTTTGCTGCAGACCTTGCTGGTGCTAACAAAAGGGAACAAAAGTGCAGTTCAGGGGTGGGACTGGGGAGAGGGACATCCCTTTGGCAGGGAAGGGATGGTTCCAAATTCTTGGCCACAAATAGCAGCCTGTATCTTGAGCCAGGAGAAATTCTCTCATGATGGGAGAATCTGAGAGCACCTAGAAATCTGCCCAGTTTCCTCCCTCTGAACACTGAGAAAACTTATAGGTACAGTCACATAGCTCTAAAAATGCAATCAGCTTGACTTCTAATGATTCAAGACAAGCTCTTTTTTTTTAAAAAAAAAAAGCTTTTCCCCATTTTCATAAAGCACATGCCTTCTAAGAGAGCACCCTTAGAAGGCTAAAGACCCAGGCCATCAGCTTGCCGTCCACCCTACAATCAGCTTGACTTCTAATGATTGAAGACAAGCTCTTTTTTTTTTTTTTAAAAAAAGCTTTTCCCCATTTTCATAAAGCACATGCCTTCTAAGAGAGCACCCTTAGAGGGCTAAAGACCCAGGCCATCAGCTTGCCATCCACCCATTTTAAGGTCTTGAATTTGTCTGAAATAACCTGGTTCCCTGCTGTCCCTCCTTGTTTCCTGCAAAGAGGAAGCACTTACCCACATTGTGTATAGTAGAAGGGGTCATCATAGTTATAGGAGTAGTTATCAGGAGCTCCTGGATAAGTGTTTTCCATCAGGATCAACAGCATATTGCTGCTATGCATCTACTGAGGCATGCAGTCTGTCCCTGCCCTCCCCCTAATGACAAAGTGACAGCAGGAGTGGCCAGACAATAAAGTAATTTATGCAGAACTTACAATAAATCTGCCTCTTTCTTTACAGGTGAACAGCACTGAATTCATCCACTGCAAAGAGCTTGTGGATCTAGAGTTAATGTGCTTGCAGCCACCCAATGCTGTTAATATTTTCTATCCCATCAGCCAAGCTGTGCAGGGCTATCCCAAGGCAAGGCTATCCTGCCAGCACCCTTGTGAATGGCAGAGTTCCCAACAAGGGAGGTTGAGGGTTGCTGTAAGCCAGACTGTTTCAGCCCCTTTCACACCTACAGCCCAAATTCCTGATCAAACCACTGAGACTGAAGAATGCTGTGATGGATTCAGACTCCTGCACAGTGAGGATGGGGAGGTGAGTGCTGGGAGGATGAACACAGGAGGCTCGTGCCCTCAACTGAGCTGCTCCTGTCCTCCCTTACAGCCACCCAAAAAGGACTCGTGGAGAATTACTGCCTTGCAAGCAGCACCTGCAGAACCAGCAGGTCCCAGCAAACAGAACAGCCAAAATAACAGGGCAAAAGTGTCACTGTGCTTCTCAGAGGACAAAGACACTTGGTATTATCAGTCTATTTGTTATGTCCTTCCTAAGCAGTATGTGGTACCCCTCATTTTTAAGATTTTGTAAAGACAGAAAGCTGGGGAGGGGAGGGACTTGGTCACAGTCCTGCAACCCAGGGATCCAGTTGGCAGGCAGCCAAACTTCATGGAGAACCAAATGCCTCAGAGTTTATTTTTAAAACTGCCATGATGAAGTTTGACAGATTGAGCCTTTCATCCAGCTCATACCATTGTTCTCTCATTAGAGCTAATCTGGCTTGGCCCATGGGAGCTGAACAGGAGCTGCTGTCGAGGAATGGGCAGCCGCCACTGCTGCCTCTGCAAGAGATCTCAGATGGAAGCAAGGTTTTGATTCAGCAGTGAGAAGCTTGAATCAAACCCCCAGTGTTCCTTAAGGCCTTACCTTGTAATCCAGGGGTCTGGGATCTGTGCTTTTTCATGGTTAAGACATTACAGACTCTATCACAGTTCCTATGCAATGTGGGAAATCACTTCTTGTCTGCAATCACCCTTGCCTTGAGTTCTCACCTGACCATGTGCTGGTCAGGGTTTTTAAAATTTATTCTGTCTTACCACACTAGAAAAAATAAAATGCCTTTAATAATTCCCCTCCACCACTACAACCACATTATTTCTTACAAATTGCTTAATCTTCATAGCAAAGTGGTTTTACAAAGGTCAGATTAAACCAGTCTTGCACTTTTAAAAACTAGCTTCACAAATCCTTTCAAAATTAGTGGAGGTTTTGTTTTAAACAACAGGCATTTTTAGGTGAGTGTTACCCTAGTTTGAGGGTATAATCCAGCCAGTAGGGGATGGGTAACAGCACCATACCTGCCATCCTGTCACAGAACAGGAGGGGGGTTCATATGGACAGGCTAAATATTGAGCAGGTGTCTCATGCAATGACATGAGATACATAACTTGGTGACAGAGATGGGGCAGGAGCAAGGAGACAATGCTATGTAACTACTGAACTCATCAGTGCAAGAAGAACATTTCTGGCCTTCTCCTCTTCTTCATTGTCACATTTTATCGTGTAGGAGAGGAATTCCTGTACCAACCATGCAGGACTGATGTGCTGAGCAGCTGTTCATGCTTTCTCAAGTGTTAAATTTGCCAGAGTGAGCTCTGTGTGTGCAGGGAGAAAGCCATGCAGCTCTTGAAACCACAAAGAAAGCCCCAAAGTGTTCCTGTAACATCCAGTAACAGAGACTTAGTGCAAACAACCTGTGTGAACAGGCATAACTTGAACCAGCAGTGAAAGCCACAGAATTCCCTTGAGCCAGGTCAAAGCTACCTCAAGCTGTGGATGCTGTGCTGAGGGGGTCCCTGCCCAGGCCTGGGATGCTGCAGGAGCAGGACTTGGGGCTGGTTTAGACCACATAAGGCTTGTGAGGTCCCCACGTACTTGGGGGTCAGGCAGCAAGCATGCCTGGAACATGAAATTTATTTATGCTACCACAGGAAAGCTTCTCATTTAATGGTAGGGTCTTCCCTCCTGAGCAGTGCCTTCCTTTTCTCTCACAAGCTGTGAGTTGACTGCCTGGCTTTTGGAAGGAGGCGAGTTGTCTTTTATAGTTTCCACTAAACAAAACATCAGCTTGGTCTGCCTGTTCTCTGTGACCCTGGAATAGGCCAGCTGAAAGGTGATGCCCACACCAATCCCTGCAGAAAACTGGGCTGTGTGATGGGCTCTGCTTCCCTCCCATCCCTTTGCCCTGTCTCAAGCACTGTCACCAGCTGTGCCCGTGGAAATGCCAGCAGCAGAGTTCTGCACACAGTAATTAACATGCTGTAACTACACCACAACAATCCTAACCTGGTGTTTTCCCCCCACAGCTGTGAGCCTATGGGTACAGTTCCTGCCTGCAGCTGGGTGATGTGTTAAAACCCATGAGCAAATTTGCTTTTCAAAATCTCTGCAGATCTCTATGATCAACATGCAAAAGTATACATTTAGAGGGGTTAATTCTAGAAGATAAAGGCAGTGCTGGAAGACCCTTCAGGCTCTGTGTTCCCAGTCAGGGTGCAAGATGCCACACTGGGATGGGAACAGTTCACTGGAGCCTGCCTGTGCTCCCAGGACACACTGCTGCTTCTCTGGCAGCACAGCTCCCTCCCACACACCTCTTCCAGCACTGTAGTTACCACAAAGGAACAAATACTTCTGTCTTGGTTTCAACAGGCTAAAAATGTCACTTACCTTTTTATTCTGCCATTGCTCAGAATGGAGCTTCCTCCCCAAAGAATGAGCTACCAGGTACAGGAAGGAGCTGCTCTTGCACAGGACCATTCTTATCACAGAAGGAGCTTTTTGGATAGTGAGAATAGCACCAATTCTCTTTTTTTTTAGCAGTAAAGGGTCAGAAGCTTTAACACCTTTCCCCTCCCTGCCTGGACAAGTAATGAGTGACAAGATGAACATTTCCCACACACAGCAGTGTCAGGAATAATTATTTTGCCCAGTGAGTTTCCAAGAGGATGACAGCTCACCTGTGTGCCTACTTGTTTGGACTGTGTGTACAACACAAGTTTATTCCAACTGCAGCTCAACTCACCACTGCAGATCCCATTTGCTACACACAATTACTGGTGAAAATGCACCAGATTCGGTGAGTGCTGGCACAGGTTTGATGTGGTTATGGCTAGATCTGTTGTTCTGGGGAATATTCACTCCCAGAAAAACTACAGAGAATGCTTATAGAGTACTTTCAAAGAGCTCTGACCTGGTAAGGTCCCTTCCCTTGGGGGATCTCAGCCCAGGTGAGACATACCTCTCAAACCTAGACTCCTCTTGTTGCCTCAATTCAGACCAGATTTCCAGATGCCTGAAGCTACCACCACCTTGTAAACAAAGCTGCAATTACACCTGAAATCCCCTATGGTAAGCACACAGACAACTGTTTTCTGTGGCTGTTTTAAACCACCTACAGAGACAGCAAAGTATTTCAGTTCCTCCCATCCACCACAATGTCCCTCATTCATAACCCCCAGCTAAAGGCACCATGTCACAGCTCATGCAGTCACCAGGAACCATTGCAGGTGAGAGGGAGCTGCCCCATTTCAGGACAGCACTCACTGGGGTGTTTCTGACAACAAACCTGACTGTCACTGATTGTGGAGGGTGTGCGATGACCTAGGAGAAGAGCTGCACAAATAAATAAACTCCTGTGGTCAGAGAACTGACCAGTAGACAAGTAAACTGCAAAGGGAAGCGTAATGCAATAGTTATACCTCATTTGTGGCATTGCAGCTATACAGTTGTTGGTTTTTTCTCCTGCTAATTGACTTTGGTGTGTTAAATTGAATTTGAGCAGTGCTTACAGTTCAATTCTTTAGCAAAGCAGAAAAGTGCACTGAGATGGAGAGATGCATTAACCTCTGGCAGTTCTCAGAGCCCCCTCCCATTCCTCCTCAGCAAGATGTGCAACTGGAATCCCCCTGGTGACCGAACTATGGTCATGACAAACAGAACTTAATCAAATCTGAGCAATTTGGGAAAAGAACAAAAAGCTTCTATTCCCAATTCACCTATCCTGCTGGGAATCTAACTTGACAAAAGCTCCAAGCAGGATGAAAGCTTTGCCAAAGGAATTAGAGTGGCTGCCTCAAAAGACAACACAAGTTTAAAACAGTCCTCAAAGCAGCAGCAAAGGCTGTACCATAGCTCAGCCCGATGGTCACACACAGCTTCAGCTTCCCCACATTCCGTGCAGGGCAGCACAGACGTGAGGACAGACAGAGCCCTCCTAAGCAGACTCCCAGCTCCGAACGCATGGCCCCCAAGCCACAGCTGAGTCAGACCCTGGTGCTCCCCACCAGGTCCCCCTTCCCCTGCACAAGTGGAGCCTCATCCCTGCCTCATCCCTGCCTCTGTGGCAGCAGGGACAGGCAGGGGTGAAGAACATGGGGTGAACATGTTTGTTGTGGGGTTTCACCCCTAATGCCTGCAGTGGCAGCAGTGTCCACAGCTTCTCCACATGACCAGTTTAGTCCTTTTCAGGCCACATACCTGTTACAGCTGCAATCTGTTTCCCAGTTCTGGCTCAGGCTAAGGGCATCCAGAGGGTTTAGAGACTGTCTCTTGTCACACACCCTAGGGACAGGCACTCAGTACCTCCACACCAGCCTCTCTGTCTCGGGGGCTACAGAGACACTGTGTCCTCCCTGGGAGCCTCGGAGGGCTCCTGTCACATACACCACACTCCCCCTTCGCAGCCTTTGTCCCACTGTGGTCACACCAGCATGAGGCAGGGACACAGGGTGAGACGTTTTCAAACCCCCTGCCACAGACTGGCTTTTGGCCACTCCTACCCTCCCAGCCTCGGGGCAGTGGGGAAAGCAGCAATCGGGAAAAAGGGAGGGAGACTGGGGACAGCAGCCGCCAAGACACAGGAGTGCACAAGGGACATCACACTTTAATCAGAGGGCAAAGGGGTTAATGAGGGGAAACTGGGATCATAGAGGGGCAGAGGACATCATCCTGGTTATACCTGGTGTACAAACCATGGTTTTAACAGATGTTTGTTAAACAAGTCAGTTTTGTTTTTATTAAACCCAGCTTTGGTACAGGTCATTCCTGAGATTCATTTACAAGGTTGTTTAAAACAAAGATAAACTGGGGCCTCTCCCTGTTCCTGTGTGAAGTTACTGGGGCACAGACATCACTCTTTGTTTTTCCCCTTTCCTTTTTTTTAAGAAAACTGTTTGTGTAAGGGGAAGTCAGTCTGTTACAAACACAGAACTTACACCAGGAACACTGAGTCTCCAGCTTTAAACCATTTCTCCTCCATTAATAAATAACATTTAGTTGTGCTTTAACATGGTTCCCTTCTCACCCATCACATCCCAGCAGGACGAGCGAGCCCAGACTGGCCAGGCAGGGTTACCTGGCCCCAAAGCAGCACATGGGAGGTGGGCAGGGAGCACTGGGGAAGGGGTTACAGTGTGAGGCACCATGTGCAGCCCTCAGAAAACTAGAGATGATGGTTGGAGCATTTTGGTTATAAAACCTGTAAGTACACAGAAGCAAGCTGCACAGAAGAGTTATTGTTTATGAAAGGTCAGAATCCAGCTGAAAGATTAGGGGTGTCAGGTTAGGGAGATCAGGTTCCCCAGTTACACCCCAAAACCAGACTGAGGAGAGGACCTGCAGGACCCTGTTACAGCAGCAGCTCGAGCAGCAAAGCTGAAAGCTCCTCACACTACCCCAGCTTTGTCCCTCACCTCTCTGGAGTCAGTCAGTGTTAACCCCCCTGAGCTAAGAGCCCCAAAATAAGCATTCTGGATTTAGTGCCAGCTGTGCAGCAGCGTGAATTAGCAGTTTACCTTTTGGCAAGTATCTCGGATTTCAACTTTACCAAGAAACCTGATTAAGCAAACTTTTCCCCATCAAAGGACACGGTGAATTTTAGTCCTTGCTACATATTCTCTTCTGTGCAATACATTGCAAGCTTAAAGGTGTAAGCACCAATTAATTTCTTCTGCATGAGATGTTTTTGCCTTAATAAATCTTCTAATTAACATATCTTCCTGTTGTTATGGAGTACGCACTGGGAAGACTAAAGAAGCTATAGAAAGAACAAAAGAGAATCAGTGTTTAAGTTTCAGTTATTTACATTAAGTAAAGACAACATGAAAGGTCAAAGCACGAATCTATTGTACAGACATTTGAGTTTAACCCATTGCAACTCGGAGAAGCTCTCACAGCCGCCAACATCTTGTTTGGAACTGGTAATCAAAGGATTGGTTTAAAATTTTAATGAAAAGACTGCTGATGGAACATGAGAAACGACTGCTGATGGAACATGAGAAATCCCAGGTGATGGAGATCTGCAAGAGCAGCCAACCAGCCCACACAGACAGAGCAGTGGCTTTGCAGGGTCCTCGCCCCACTCCACCCCTCACAGCTGCAGAGTTCTCCAGAGGGAACAGCTGAGGACAAGGCTGGGTTTGTGGGGCTGTCTCCTGAAGGAAAGTGCCATCATGTCATGTCCCAGGGCCTTGGTCACCAGGCCTGGGCTCGGGAACTGTGAAGCACGGGCAGCACCTACCTCACTGCTTCTCTAACAAACCATGCATTTCTCCTCCTCCTCAGAGCATCTCTAGGAGCTCTGCACAAGTATTAATGAAGCTCTTAACACTGCTCCTCTGGAAAGACACTTGTCCATGCACATCATCCGAGTCACCAGGTGGCCCACCTTTAGAAGCACCTGCTGCTCCACACCTTCACTTCCCTGAACTCTGAATGCACATGCTGCTCTCTGGTCTCCCAGATTTGGCTTTAAAATGTATTGGCATGGAAAAGGATGTAAACATTTCATACAAACCACTTGGTAATTCCCCACTAAAGCTTTTGCCTAAAAACATTCCAGCTGCATATTCCTAAAAACCTTGGAGAGGCAGCCAGGATCACCAGCCTGGTTTTATTCTTCAAGCTGGGGCTGCAGAAAAACCTCCCACCAGAAGCACTGCTGCAGCAAACACTGTGCATCAGCCAAACTCCACACTGGCAGTGTCTGAAGTGCAGCACTGATCTCAGTCCAATTCCAAAGAAACCCCAGAAGGACCCAAAGCTGAGTGAACAGAACTTGGTACGCAGCAATGGCCCAGAACAGACCTGAGAACAAACCCTTGGGTAAAGCTTCAGCAGCTCTCTGACAGCACAGCACCAAACTAAAGCTGTGCTTTAGTTTGACCTAAGTGTATGATGTCCTTCTCCAGACAATCCAGACAAGGAACACAGCTTTGCATGCACCACCAGGAAACCTCTCCACCTCTGCTCCACTTTCACCCTACCTTGAAATCACCTCTTTGGGCACCATGAAATCAGCAAAGCTGCTGGT